AAAAAAAAATAGGGTAGTTATCTGAGAAAAAGATGTCTCGGTTGGCGGTGCCGTAGGATTCTGTGGGTACAGAGACTTTCAATTGCGGCTTCGCATTCTAGATACACTCTAAATAATTGGGGACCACTTTTTAGAGTCCCTTGTGACTTGAGCTAGCTATATATAGATAAGCGTGTCATATGTATATCACCAATTAGGAGAAAGTATCTTTCACCATTCGATAGTAACTTACAGTAATTACCGGTAAGAATGGGCTTATCTTAAAGAGGATAGTATGACAAAGTTTAGCGCAGCAATAACTTATGCCTAATTTGTCCGTCGCCAGGCACTGATTTTTGCATAGCCCTTGGCGGATCAATCCCGCTATCATCCCATTAATCACCTCTGGACTCTACAACTACGATAACATCAAACTTGGCAGTCTCAACACATGAACTGACCCAAAACACAACCAACGGGAAGTTTCAAGGCGGACAAGGGCCCACTGATACCAGACAGCTAACATCACATCCAACGCCGAGTCTACTGTGGCCACTAGCTCCTTCTACACCACAAAAGTGCTACAATATCCTGTAGTACTCGATCAAGCAGTTTGTGTGCCGAAGCTCCACAAGGACCTGGAGTATGAGAACTTAGTGCTGCTTGTGATGCGCTTGACAGCCGAGCCATGGCTAACCGCACGATATATACTCGAGCATACTCCAAAACCAGTGCTGGGCAATTCATCTCCGCTAAGGGGCCGAAAGGTGATCCATTATCCGACACAGCCCTCCTGGAAGAGTTCCGAAATCATGCCAACATATGGAATCGAGAGCCCACGGCCTTGGTGTCAGGTAGCGATCGCATAGTCGACACTTTGAAGCGTGCTTTTGACAAGCATTATGAGGACGGCGAGTCGTCAGCAGACATTTGGATCGCTTTCATAGAGATCCCACCCACCATGAATGAAACTGGCCCCCGAATTCATTCTGCAAAAGAGTTGGCAGAACAATGTGAACTCCCGGAACCGAATTTATTCTCTCACGAGGTTGTTTTTGAGTGGGCTATACCCAAGAAGTATGTGCTACACGAGGTCTCTTTGCAGGCCTTAATAAATCGTGGACTTCAAGAGCATTACTTTTTACAATCGTCCACTGCGGAAGTACGACGCTATACCGCGAGAGAACTCCGACAACATGGCCCCTGGGAAATCGGCATCACCCTAGGTTCCTTTGCACGAAAGTTTGGTGCTAGAGCACCTCTGGACTGGATCTCTCACCAGCTTTTCCATGATTGTGTACGGACGACGATTGTGCGTGATGACGTGGTCAGACTTGAGTATCTGGATAGGGATACTGAAATGGTGGACTTCCAATTTTTTTGCGACTTGGATGATGGAATCGACACTACTTTATACGAGTGGTGGCTTTCAGACATTGACTTTTATCTAGATTACGAAGAATTCAAGGAATTGCGAGATGTGGCAGAAGACAGCATGACCTGGGATTTGATTGAATTCTGGGAAGCTTGGCGCGATTTCAATTGTGATGGAACGATCAAAGAGCTGTCTTTGAGGGAAAAGTTATTATATGATGAGGAGAAGAAGAAATTATTGGTTGAGCATGAGAAGAAGAGGGCAGCTATTGAAGCAGAAGCTGTGAAGATAGGTTTATGACTCCCTCTTTTTGGTTGATCATCATGGCGACTACGATATACAATCTCGTATTCAAAATATACAGCACGATACTCGACGTTAAAATACAGCACACGAGCTTGCTTGTGGATGCTCTGGTAACTTACCACTACTTCTCATCACTGCACAACCTGCTCATAACGAGTTAGCGCGATAATTCCTTTTATTATGGTTAAGCTGGCAGCCGCTGCTGGGAAATATTGGTGTAATGGATAGCTACTGTATGGTCTGTAGAGTTTGGCAGCGAAAATGTATCAAGCTCTGTGACCACGGTGTCCAATTTCCTCGGCTTCTCTGGCGAACTTCGCAACAAGATATATAAGATGCGCTTCATTGTAGTAAGAAACAACACGGCCACAACTAAGGACGTAGCTTCGTCCTCGGGCTAATTGGCCGCGCAAACGCAGACAATATCCGACATCCCTGTGTCAACTCTCCCCGCTGACAATACCCTCGAGAACGCTAGCCTTGTACTCGCGAAATCTGATGGGCTCACCACTGCCACGGAGTAAACGTAACATTCCCGGAAAGTGCATATTGCGAAGCCTCTTCTGGTGTCTGTCCATTCTTGAGTTCCGAAAAGTAGTTGCAGGCACCCGTAGCACAGGTCCAGAATCCCATACCGGCTCTGGACCTCCGGACACCTATTCTATCTTGTCGACTTGGAATTCCGCAATCACAATTTGGGTTGCCAGGATGAATTCCGCGGTTATCATCCCAGGTTATCCAGCCTCTTTCATGATCAGAGATAGTTTGATGTCGATTACGTTTACAGCGAACGCAGATATAATACGGTCGATGTACATTGTCATTCATATTTCCTGTCGTGACGGTCGACCGATACCGAGGAACCCAGCCGCAAGAGCGACACTTAGGAGATTTGAGTGGAAAGCGAGCGACCAACGGTGTTAGGCAAGCGGCGATTTCAGTCAACGACATTGCTGTATCACACCACAACGTCAGACAATCACTTCCAGTATGCTGGGTAATCGTTAAGGTAATTTACCATGGAATCGCCCATCTTCTCCTAAGGACTGAACTAGTATCCTCTCCATGGCCTGCTAGTAAATGCTAATATCTGAGTTACAAAGATCGTCCACCAACACAGACCATGAAGCGTGATCGCAGAACGAAGGCATATCACATTCCTCGTTGACGGACTTTTGCGCAGTGTGGGGTAATGCTTGGCGGTGCTCCTCGTTGGATCACAAAAGGAGATTAAAAACTATCGCCGTTATTACTTAAGTTTATGTACAGAGTCTTGGCAGATCGAAGCATTTCGTATCGTATTGTAACCTCTAACGAATCCCTGCATCAATGCTTGCTTTAATTGGCATGTGGAAAGGCATACGCTTAACTATATTCTATCTAGCTCTCAATACGTCATGGGTCAAAAAGTGGTCCCCAATAATTTGGAGTGTGTCTGCAATGCGAAGCGGCAATTGAAAACGCCTGTAGAACAACGCTCTACACATTGATTTGATTTGATTACGTCATAGTCTGTCCCAGCCACTCTACAGTAGCTATGCAGCGTGCGACTATAAGTACAGGTGTTCCCCCGTCGAGTTTCCGTACGACAAGCCGTTCCTGGTCCGAACTGCTTCTACATCTGTTCGACGTGGAGACTCACGCCTGTACTTATAGCCTTAATAACCGTTCTGTCTCTGTGATCTTGTCCGGCCTTTCCTGGCCTTCCTCAGCTTCTGTCTGATAAGAAACACTCGTCTACGCTTAAGTGTATGCGAAAACTGTGGACGGCACTGCCCGAAATTGCTCCAGCAGTCCCGTCCTGATCATCATCTTGGCTGCACGTACGGCCATGGATGAGCTGCAGAGAACCTGCTTGATATCCCCGCATGGAGTCTGGCCTGCCCACATTCTTTGTCGCTCCTCGCACCAGTTCCGGCACTCCAGGAGAATATGTCGTACGGTTTGCCGGCCATAGCCGCAGTCGCATTCGTCGGTGTCGGCTTTGTTGATGGCGTGCAGATAGCCGCGCAGGCCATTCCGCATTTGTGTCATAACCGAGCTGATCGCACGGTGTGTGCCTATATGTGGAGTCAAGAGACCCTTTCCTGGGCGGGCCCCGAGCCTGTAGAGCTCGCGTCCGTGTTTGGCGATTTCCCAGGATCGTTCCCATTCGGTCTTCATCTTCTGTCGGATGGTAGTTTTCGTGGTGGGCGTCAAAGTCAGGATTGAATCCGGAGACGATCTGAGTGGATCCGAGTTATGCCTCGCGTCCGGAAGCGTAGTAGCTTCCTTGGCAGCTCGATCAGCCGCTTCATTGCCAGGTATACCGATGTGTGCCGGAATCCATACGATTCGGATGTCCCATCCTTGGTTTCGGAGTTGGTCTAGCAGACCTATCGTGTCCACGAGGATGTATTGTCCCGAAGGGCACTTAGGGTTGCCTATTGCTTGGATGGCCGCCTGATTGTCCGTGAAGATAATGCATTTGCCGGATGTGTTTGTCTTCGCTTGGACGTCGAGCGCTATTTCAAGTGCCAGCTCAATTCCCCGGAGCTCGGCTGCATACACGGTCGACGTATTTGTGGTGCCCATATATTCTGTTCTCTTTGTTAGAATATCCGCGGCCAGTATGTTGAGGGTGACCGCTGCAGCACCGACGTGGCCGTCGATGCCGCTGCCGTCCGTGTATAACGCTCTACACATTGATCGGACAAAGATCGAGGAAGTGGGTAGCGGATACTGTATAGGTATGCAGATACGCCGGCGTTAGTCTGCCTACCACAAGGATTGTAGGGGCGTCACACAGCGCTTGTGAGAGTTTATGTCCGCTCAGTGCATATATTCATCTATTCGACGAAAATAGAGAAGATAAAATTAATCAAACCCAAGTTGCGTGGACGACACAATCATGTCAAGACGGACATAGTAGATTAATAGCAAAATTGGACCTTTTTTCAGGCCCAAAAAAAAGCGCAGAATGCACAGTTCGACGACCCGGTATGCTTCACCGCATCTTTTATGCGTGAAGAACGACCCTCGGACCTGCGTCAGCAGTGACTTTTGCCATGGGATACGTAAAATTGAATGGTAATGAACAAGGGCTAGGCTCTCGGCCCATAGATCCAAGGACAGGTGGGTACAGTAAGGTGGTTGGTTGATTACTTCTAGTCCCAACCATTGTGTGAGTAGAGCTCGACCAATCACGGCACAGATCAAGACTATGGAACATTGTCTAGTGCCTCCAGCACAGCCAATCACCTTCGAGCATTCCTCTTCCTTCCCTAAACCTGGGTGTAATAACTAATTCAAAATTATGTAACTAGCTATTGTTGAAGACTTTTTAAACCCTCCCTCCCTGTTTCTTTGAGAGTTGCCTTGCATATACGCTGTGTCTGTCAGCCTGAACAAGGTTTGTATCTATACCATTAACTGTGCTCCGTATAGTGCAGCGAGACGCTTCATCCCTCGACTGAAAACCTGACTCAGCAGGAACTACGGGATGTCGCGGCCAAAACGTCTTGCAACAAACCATTGACTTTTCGGTGGACGCCTCGGGCCCACTTTGGAACAACGAGGTCGTCGTACGGCTGGGCGATGCGGTGATTGTGGTGCGCTCTGACGGGTCGGGCGGGATAGTTCAGCATTCGACAATAGGTTCACACCTTCAAAAAAGCGGAGCTTTTCTTCGCATCGGCCGGACTCCTCGTTCGAACGCCCGTGCCTGGAATCGAGAGTTACATTATCGTCGCCCGGAGGTTCGATATCAACATTGAAGACGATCGACGATCACATTTCGACTAAGACATTCTCAACTACTGCAAAAGTCAATTTACTGAGGTGGACGTTTTTAAAGGCTAGGAGAAAGCAAGAGTGGGGCGGAGAAAAGTAGGCAGGAGTGAAAGCAAGGGCTGGCGAATATGTGGCCTCGACGGACGCCCCGAATTCGAAGCTCATTGGGTCTCGGAACTGACCAGTTCAGACGTTTATTGAAAGGTGGATTGTGAGGGGGCGGCGGTACGCCGGTGGTGGTGTAGAATCACTTCGAGATCGAGCGCGAATCTATAGATAAGCGCAGAATCTCTCCTACTCCCACGTGAAGTATATGCTAGAGTTGACAGTTTGATGGATGTAATTCTGGCCGTGCGCAACCGGTTCAAGATTCAGACCCTTACAAAGCAGGACAATGTGCTGGACACTCTGCCGCATATAACAACCTAAATCAAAGTCTCGGGTGATAGAGCTGAGGGTGGACTGATTCAGGTTAACAGTGTCTCCGTCCGCCATAAATATGTACCCTACCATCTACGGAGTACGACGTGGAACAGGAAGCTGGCTAATTCGTTCACAAATAGGCTACACTTTCGAGGATACTGATCTCGCTTGCCATAGTACCCTACGATTCTCGGCTCTCGGCCGCGACGTTTAACCGAACTGAGCATCTAACAATGTGCTGTCAAACTTGTTCGTAACTTCGCCGCCATATTTAGAGTCAGTCTTCTGACCGCGACCTCAGGTCAACGTGCTCTCGAGCCCTTCTTAACGTCCGTCCTTCCAATCCTTATTTAAGCCTTGAACGCAATCCGAGCCTTGGGGGACTAAAGGTAAAATTCGAGAGACTACCACACTTGAACAGACTACAACAACGTTAGGCCATGTAGTCGAGGAAACCACTCTCCGAAACTAGCCTCAATCACGAATGGAATTCCATAAAGGGCATCACCGGACAGCAAGGAAGAAGTAATGCCATGCGTGAAGAGAAAGTCGTCTCTTCGAGAGATGCCTTTAGAACAACAAACATGAGAGGGGTCAGTTATTGTCACAGCTGCACAAAGAGTCAGTGTCGGCTAAGTCACGAGACCACCTTAAGAGATTAATCATGAAGGTAGGCTCTCCGATATGAGATGAAGAAACTTTTATCAAAGCAAGAGATCCACGCTGTGCGACTGCCCTAACGAAGTCTCATTGTCCTGCTAGCAATCAGCACGAAACAAGAGACATGAGACTAGAGTTGC